TTTCAACCCCTAACTGTAATCATAACCCTAACCCTTTCCATGACCCTCTTTTCATCCTTTGTCGAAAGGCTTCTTGTCATTCTACATAATGCCTAGGTATTATAGGCAGCACAATGCTTGGGGAAAGCGTGTAGCATATTAAAATGACACAGGCATGGCATGCTTTTCCTTAAAACGCCACTCGTTCTATAGATTTCCTAGGCTTTCTACACAATGCCACTGTTCACCCATTGCCAGGAACGGATATATTAAAAGAGAGAAGGCAGCCACCCCCACAAGGCCAAAAACTTGCTCGTTCCTCCTCATAACCCTTGAAATACTCCCAAAACATCCCTGCACCAATCGGTTCTAGATCATGGAATGAAATTTAAGATGCAACCAATTAAAGCACTTGATTTTGTGCTGGAAGAACGTGGGCTGTGGAAGAACGCTACAGGTAGTCAGGTTAAGGAATCAATAGAGTTGGAAGGGACCTTGTAGGTCATCTAGTCCAGCCCCCCACCCACCCAAGCAGGAGACCCTGAACCATTTCTGACGAAAGGTGGTCCAGTCTCTTCTTGAAAGCCTCCAGGGATGAAGCTCCCACCACTTCTGAAGGCAACTTCAGTTCCATGGGTTGATTGTTCTCATCATCAGGAAATTTCTCCTTATTTGCAGATTGAATCTCTCCTGGTTCAGTTTCCATCCATTCTTCCTTGTCTGGCCTTCACATGCTTTGGAAAACAGCTTGAGCCCCCTCCTCTCTGTGGCAGCCCCTCAAATATTGGAAGATGCTATTCCTATCTCCCCTTCTCTTCACTAGACTAGCCAGGCCCAGTTCCTGCAACCGTTTTTCGTATGTTTTAGCCTCCAGTCCCTGAATCTTCCTGGTTGCTCTTCTCTACACTTTTTCTAGAGTCCCCACATCTTTTTTTTTATAGTGTGGTGACCAAAACTGGATGCAACAATCCAGGTGTGGCCTTACTAAGGCTTTATAGAGTGGTATTAGCCCCTCCCTTGATCTTGATTGTATCCCTCTGTTAATGCAATTTAGGATTGTGTTGGCTTTTTTGACTGCCGCTGCACACGGCTGGCTCCTCTTCATAATTCAGTCCTCAACTTACAATCACCTGAGCCCAAAATTTCTGTTGCTAAACAAAGACATTTGTCGAGTGAAATTTGCTCCCTTTTGCAACCTTCCTGGCCACAGTTGTTAAGCGAGACACGCAGTTGTTAAATTAGTAACTTGCCTGAATCTGGCTTCGTCAGACGGTCGCAAAAGGGGATCACGTGACACCCCCGGGAGACTGCAACCGTCATAAATACGAGTCATTTACCCAGCGCCTGGATTTTAATCTCGTGACCCCGGACGGTGCTGCAACGTTCATAAGGGTGAAAAAGGGTCATTCACTTTTTTTTTCTTCAGTGCCGTTTTAACTGTGAATGGTCACTAAGTGGAACGTTGTAAGTCCAGGGCTCTTCATGTGGAATGATTCTCCTCTGCTCGCAACAGAATCCCTTCTTTTTTTTTAGCAGATTTTCTNACATTTATAATTATCAGAGACAAAGGAAAGGATAGAAAGGACATCAAGCCGGTGAGATTTGAACCGCTGACCTGCTGATCTAGCAGTAGCCTGCAGTGCTGCATTTAACCACTGCGCCACCTTGGCTCTTCATGGAACATAAATAAAAATCGACTTGCATATACTTATCAAAACTAATCTTACTATACATTTGTTTACAATATATTAATAACTAACAAAGTTTATTTAACATTAAAACATGAGTTTGCAATTAATAAATAAAAAATATATAAAGTACTATATCCATATCAAAGTCTCTAATTGTTCAATTGAGACTTACAGTATGTAATAAAATAGAGAAATTCTTCAGATCATTGGTGGGGGTAGTAGTATCCTTCCAAACTTATAGTATCATTTCTAATACTAAAAATATGCAATTCTAATTTTTATCACCCTGTTGCTTGCCCAATCATTGATATATACTCTAATGCAAAAGAACGTGACTGTCTACAAAGCTCAGTATTTTTCTAGAGTAAATTTGAAATTTGACAGATTTAATTTTAAAAAGCTGGCTCAAAAATGAAATCAATTTACAACTTTGTTTTTTCTCTAAATAAGGTATAGAAAACCAACTGAATGTTATTTCTCTGAAATGATTTTTTTCTCTCCAAAGAAGAAAGATCACGCAATGACCTTAAGTTAAAGTTCTTTTGTAATATCTTACAAAGAACTTTTCAATAACTGGCCCACATTTTTTTCTGTCCTGTAACTTGATACCTAAACTTGTGGCTTAGGGAACAGTGTGCTGGACTGAACAGCTGACATTTTATCTTTCAAATCTTTTTAAAGCATTTGGATCTTCCTGTTTTGTCTTCCCTAAACTTTCTCTGAATACATCTAAGATAAAGGTTCGATTTTTGCAACAGCCACCCACAAAAGAATGTGGACTGACCTGTTAAAGTTTAGCAAGAAGATTATTTATTTGTGTCAACTTTCCATTTATGAGACTCCATTGTTGATTATATAGCAATTCAGGGTTGGCTCACCTGCTTGATGTCCTTTCTATCCTTTCCTTTGTCTCTGATAATTATAAATGTAGAGTTTAGAGTTTTAAACATTTAGTAAGATTGTTATCATCGTTCCCATTTATCTATCTCTTGCATATTGTTTGGTACAGTAATGACACCATGCTTGAGGCTTTTAAGTACACAGCATTAAGATGTGTGTTTTTCTTCACGAGGTGAAGGTGGTGCAGTGGTTAAATGCAGCACTGCAGGCTACTTCAGCTGCAGTTCTGCAGTTCGGCTGTTCAAATCTCACCGGCTCAAGGTTGACTCAGCCTTCCATCCTTCCGAGGTGGGTAAAATGAGGACCCGGATTGTTGTTGGGGGCAATGAGCTGACTCTGTAAACCGCTTAGAGAGCGCTGAAAGCCCTATGAAGCGGTATATAAGTCTAACTGCTATTGCTATTGCTATTGCTATCTTATTCTCTCTTTTGAACCTTGTAGCAAACTGCTCTGAGTTTAAGATTCAATCTTTGCTGGCCCATTGTCAAAAATGTGTCAGAACTAACCTTAGAATAGATAATAAGATGTAGAAGGGGCATCAGCATTTTACTGATTGGAGGACTATTAACAAAGGACAATAAAAATTCCACCTCCAACAGATTGGGGTGGATATTAGGAGCTGAGGGGCCACACTTGGTGGCCAAAGCCCACAGTGGACAAACACATTTCAGGATGAATGAAGTTATGTCTAATATATGGCTAGGCTAGGATTTCCCATTTTGCCCCTGTTTTGGTGAGATTTTTTTCCCCATTTGTGGTTGTTTTTTTGTCATTTGTAATTGTATCATACTTGTGTATCTCCATGCACTATTTATTGCATTAGAACCACAGTATTTAAAGCTAGGTTGAGTAAAGGGGGAAATCATTTTTCCTATGCAGTGTTTTCCCGAAAATAAGACTGGGTCTTATATTAATTTTTGCTCTAAAAAGATGCATTAGGGTTTATTTTTTGGTTAGGTCTTATTTTCGGGGAAATGCAGTACTAAATACATCCATCTGGTTGACAACATTAATTGGGGCTTATTTGGAGGGGGGTAGGCCTTATGAGCATCCTGAAAAATCATGCTAGAACCTATTTCGGTCTTATTTTCGGGGGAAACAGGGTATTATGACCACTTATTTTAAAAAAATTAGATCATAAATGTGGAGGTCTGCTGCAACCAGAGGCGTATTCAGCCGGTTTGGACTGGTTTGCCTGAACTGGTAGTGGAAATTGTGGGTGGGCCTGCCCATCCTCCCCGGCTCTACATGGTCCTATTAGGCACCTTTTCAAGCCAGGCTCATGCATACAAGGCATGCGCACAATCAAAGCGCATGCGCAGAGCATGCATGGATGGGGTGCATGCGAGTGCACATTTACAAACCAGTAAGGAAAGTAAGTGAATATCATCCCTGGCTGTAACCATTGCTACTTTTGCTTAACAACCATCACAAAAAGGGTCATAAAATCACGTTGGTCATGTGGGTGACCTGCTTTATCATGACTCATGGCCATAGTGGACAGGTTCCATTATGATCACAAGTCAAGCACTACCGGTNGAGCCGGTGAGATTAGAACCGCTGAACTGCAGATAACAGTCAGGTGAAGTGGCCTGCAGTACTGTACCCTAACCACTGCGCCACCTCGGCTCTCTAAGATATGCACAGGTTAAAAGTTAGCTTATTTTTCCTTATTTGCCCCATTTGAAAATTGCTCCCTTAGATCTAACCAATGATGTCTTTACAGAGCAGGCAAAGTCTGTAGACCCAACTTGTCAAAACATAGGAGTGTGAAGGTCATTTTAGGTCAACAGACACCAGAAGACAATACATTTTGATATTATATTGTCTTCACCTCTGTATCGTCTTCTGATTAACAGAACACCTTTGAGGGCATTTTCCCACCTGCATAACACACACGATTGACTTTTAAGGAACAAAATCGAAACCACCTGACTATAGTATGAATTGACCTGAATTTCACCTCCACTGTTTTTTTTTAAAACAATCACAACCTCAACTACGTTGGTGTTTTCCAGAATTATCCACAAGTACCCTCTCCGCTAGGCAGATGTCTTCCCTCCCTGGTTATTTACGTTCAAACTATGGAACTATCGAATTCATTTTCTTTTCTAGTTTTCTGTCCTGGTGTCCTTCAAACGCAAAGTTTCTTCAAAGAGTCACTCAGACCGAATGGCAGCATTGCAGAAGCCTGACGTAAAAAAAAAAGTGTGACTCCAGCATCCGTTGCATTCGGTGCTGTGGAGCTGTCAGCTCAGATGATGCAAAGGCAGTTTGGCTAAAGAATTATGCTGATCTTCAAACTCCTGGGCTACACCGTCACATCAAAAAGAACAGAAAACAAAGGGCTTCTGAGAGTAGAAGACTACATTACAAGCCGGACTGAGAATGAGAAAGTATAATTTTCTTAGACATGTAGGTTCTTACTTACCGTGATGGCCTGAAACCTTTCCTTCAGCAGTTCCTCTTCTTCCATTCTGGAAGTGAAACAAACACACAGGTTGTGAAAGCTACAAAGGAATACCAGACTCCTGTCTGTAAGAAGGTTTCCAGTTAGATGCTTTGAGAGACAGAGCTCTAATTCCACCAAGGAAGGAAGGAACCCGACTTAGCTGGTGTGTCTCCAAAGTGAGGGCAAAACTGCTCACATAGACACATGCAACAAGGGTGTGCTGAAGAGGCAAACGTCCAGAATCCTGGCATCAGTTGACTGACAAGTTTGAACGGCAGAACATAAGCCTTTTCCTTCTGCTGCAGCTGCCAATTCTTTGTTGTAATAATACACACGCTTTGCATGCCACAGATTAACTCTGGAGTGGCCAAATATTTTCTTTTCTTCCTATCCCCCAAACAGAACACCAGTCATGTTTGCCTGTGGAATTCCTCTTCCGTTTTTGTTTTAATGGGCAAAATAGAAAAGTTTGGGCCTTTTTTAAACCCCGCTTATCCTTTCATCCTTCTTTGAGAGGTCAGGAAAAAAGAAGAAGAAGAGCAATCATTTCTGGAGCAGACAGCAGGATTTAAAACCTAATCTTTAGGATGTCTAGCGGGGTCTCTACAAGGTGGAAGCGTTCCCATGTTGTCAAAATAAATTTCTCGACAGAGAAAAAAAGCATGTTAAAATTTCGAGTAGAACTCTTGTTTAATACCATCTGTAATGGTCTCAGGACACACAGATAGTCCTTGACTTACAACAGTTTGTTTAGGGGCAGTTTGAAGTTATAACGGCACTGAAAAGAAGTGACCTATGACCATTTTTTTTGCAGCATCCCCACACTCGTGATTTACATTCGGATGCTTGACAACTGACTCAAGTGACGACTGCAGTGTCATGCGATCATCTTTTGCACCCTTCGGTCAAGAAAAGTCAATGGGGAAACCAGACTCACTTAACAACCGTGTTACTAATTTAACAACTGCGGGGATTCACTTAACTGTGGTAAAAAAAGTTGTAAAACGGGGCAAAATTCGTGTAACAAGTTTCTCTCTTTTTTTTAATAGCAGATTTTATTATTATTTTTTCCCTTCTAAAATACCTTACAGTCATTACATCGACATTGTCATCATACCTGTACATGTATATACTATTTCGCTTCTATATTTACACACCTTTATACACAGTTCTCTCTATATATATTTATATCTATTGTTTTTTGGCTTAATTAATTTTATTCTTGTTTTGCAGCCATTTGTACCAATTGTTGATCTACCAATTGTATAGAGCCGACGTG